ACGGCGCCTATACCTCGAAGAAATTATGCGCAAAGGGAATCATATAGTAAATTTTTCACACAAACAACAAATAAAAGAACTATAGAGAAACCGGCTTTATTTTTTGTTGTTGAAGAGCTAGAAGTTTTTTGTTCACTAATGAGTTGCAACTTACCGTTTCCGCCTTCGTCGTTCATAATCTTTAGCACGGATGACGGATTTTTGCTTACCATGTCGTCGAGGATGTATCCTAGATGGTCGACAGCTGCTGCTGGAATTACATACTTTAAAGAACAATATAAACTTAGGATACTCTTTTGACGATTGCAATCGGACGCGCAGAGTAGCTAGTATATTGAGCAAAAAGGTTCATTAAATCCATTGTTTAGATTCCCTGTTAATTACAGTAACACATTTAATTTTTTGATGATCGATATATTGATTTTTACGAGATAACCCACTTTGGAAGTGTTAGGTTCCTGCGGCTACATGATTCTACTTGAACATCAATAATTGCGAGTTCAAGAGGACTGCATATCGATAACCGTCGTGCAATTACTTCCTGTAAAATCATTAAATCTAATCAATAATTGATCATCAATAAACATTGAGGCTCACATTTCTTAGCGTGAACGTTTCTTTCGTATTTGTGTAATGTGCAACTTCCCAGTTATCACGTTCACATTCAGAATATAATATATCACTGGAAAATTACTGATAACACAATAATTGATCAAAAAAATTCATAGCTCACATTTCTTCAGCACCAGTTAGTGGCTTAAGACAATGTATAGTCACAGCGCTTACACAAGTTAGTTCATTGAACTCAATTTGTGTGAAGAAGCCAACATATGGATCACCTTAAATAAGGATTTATTTATAATTATATTTGCTTTATCAATTTATATGCAGATACAATCTGTGATGGTTGAGAAAACTTACGTCCATCAATTAATATCCTTTGATGGCCGGATTCTACCCGTAAGAACGAGGCTAAGACATCTGAAAATTCTTATTAGTATATTGAAAATTTTATCATTTTCTAGAATTTTATTACAAGAAAGTTTTTATACCTTGTAATATAGAAGCAATTAGAAGGATACTTCTTGCATACATCGCATGAATTACATTTCCATGGAA